AGTATACAAATATTAAAATAAACATGTATATATTTTAAATATACATATAAACTAATATATATATATATATATATATATACACATTAATACTCACGTCGTTGAATCCTCCATAAGTCGTCTTGTAGAACTCATCTTCTTCTTCGGCGTCCAGTAGTTTGGACATGCGGCTTCCGGCGGTGCTGCGCTGCTCTCTGCTGCTCGCTAAACTCATTTCGACGATAATTAATCAGCGTATTCTATAATATTACTCTGTTTAACTTCTCTGTTCGTCTCTCTCTGTGAGGGGTATAAATGTGCGCACTAAAGCGCTGCGCTATTACATTCGGAGAAACAATTTTAAATCATCAACGAAATAATGCTAATAAATGAACAACAACACGACGATCGCGGAGAAACCTCACTTCCGGTGCGGACGAGCATCCGGGGCTCAACAGTGACGCGCCAGCAATCACATTAGCGTCACAATCTTCTTCTTCTTCTTCTTTATTAGTGTAATAAAACTTTATATCGGTTGAACGCTTACCGAAATGTTGTCTTAGTGTGTTCTAACGTGGACTTTAGACTCGAAGCTTTCAGTGCCCAGTCCCTAGTGAAAAATAAATATACTTCAATGTCTTTTTAAATGCTAAGTGCTACAAATACATTTTCATATTTATGTGCTTAATAAACTAATTTTGTGCTTAATGCGCTTTAATTGTGTGGAAGTACAATTAAAGATATGATTATTAGTATATTTGATTGTACTAAAGAGGAACTATTGCAAGTATACTTCAGTTAAACTTTAATTATTTTGCCTTTAAAGACCGATATTATTCAAAGATCACACAATTCTCATCAAAAGTGACTTTAAAACACATTTTAGACTTAATATTGAGAAATGTGCATGCGCCAAATAAAGTTTAATTATAATTTGTATCTGTCATTAAATGTTAAAGCAGCACTATGTAACTTTTTCTGTGTTCAAAATGTGCAAAATGTATATAATGAGCGAGTAGATCATGAACTCATCTTCCAAACCGCGTTTTTGTCTTATTCCGAATCACTCCGGTACACTTATAATAAGTGCTTATATTCGGACTATTGTAGCCTGGTCACCGCTGCGGAGTAACACACACCTGCGTGAATCGCCATAGACACACACTTGGAGAAGTAGATCCGGTCGGAATGTTCTTCCGCGGGATGTGTGCAGTTCTGTTTATTAACCGCTAGAGCGCCAAAAGCTACAGAGTGCTGCTTTAATAGATTTTTAACTATACTTCGTTTTTACTAGGGGTAATTATGGGGAAAACAAAAATATCCCGTTTAATTGTGGCGTAATAACCCCCTTATTTTTTTTAAGCGTTCTTGTTTTTTCATTTGTAGCCGTTCCTAAATTCTGCTGAATTATTCCTGAATTATTGAGCAGAGTTTATGAACAGAAAATATGAATAAGCGTTTCATCTTTGAGCTCCATAAGATGGCAGCAAACTCTGCTCAACTTCATCAGTCTCATGAATTCAGAGGAAAGAAGCACCTCGTGAAATATTTGTGAACAAAAACAGGCAGGCTACAGTTGTTTACTCGATCACTATTCAATATCATTTATCCATCTATGTTTTTTTCCAGCCAGGATTTCTCAATTGCATAAAATGTGCGGGTTTTGTCTTTGTTTACCTACTGTTTTCATCATCGCTGAAGTTACTGACTGAAAGCTAGTTTGACCAATAGCGTGCGGGCGCTGTTCAAAATCGACCAATCGTGGCGCGAGTAGGCGGGGTCTACAGAGAACGGCCAAAGCCATGCAAAAAATGCATGTACATATAATAAAAGAGGACTGAGGAGAGACTATCAGGAGAAAACAAAGGCAAAACCTGGACATTTTAGGCAATTTAGAAATAAAAAGGGACATATGTTCACCATAATGAATCAGAACTGTGATTCAGTGTTTCTGTGTTCATTCATTTGTGTTGCTAGGATGCTTGCATTGTGTTTTATTGTCTTTTGTGTAGTTCATAACCCAGAGAAACCGACACATGAGCCGACAGAAATGTGTTCCAGCAGCATTCTGATCGCACCACAAATTCTGACCAGTATCTGACCCCATACGGTGAAAATAATAAATAAACATAACTAAAAATAAACTTTGTAATTATTAAATTCATAATTAATAGTATTAAATATATTTAATGTTTTATTACATATACAATAAATATTATTAAATCATTGTAAATCTAGTTTTGATCTCTAGTAGGCTATTTCTTTTACATTTAGTCTAAATGTGACATATGTTTTGTATTAAAGAGTGAAATTAAATATATTTTCAATTTCAAAATATATTTCATTGAGCTTCACTGTTTACAGCATACATTTAGCATTTATATTTACAATATAGCTTGGCCAGAAATATTTTTTATTTATTTATGTATTTATTTTATTTTATTTTTTTGTTTTGTTTTGTTTTATTTTATTTTATTTATTTATTTATTTATTTTAATTCTATGTAATTTTATTTAATTTTATTTATTTTATTAAATTGTATTTTATTTTATTTGTTTGTTTTATTTTGTTTATTTATTTATTTTATTTTATTTATTTATTTATTTTATTTTATTTATTTATTTTTACAATATCTCAGGCAGAAGCATGTTTACTTTCTATATGATTTTTTCCCCCTGTAAATTCAGTATGGATTTGTTTGGTCTTGAGGTGATCTTGACTCCCCGTGTGTAAATATGATAATCAGTTTATCTTATGTTGTGTTAATGAGTGGGGGAATCATTCGAAACAACTGCATTTTTTTAACCAAACAAAAAAAAAGACTTTTGAACTTGAGAAGAACTTGGTGGAAGGAAAATCACTTGAAACCTTATTGCAGCTTTGGGAGGCCTTGACATTCTAAACAGTCTGTGATGTAGAATCGGTGGGTGTGGCTAAACAGGCAGTGATGTAGAATCGGTGGGCGGGGCTGAACAGGCAGAGATGTAGAATTGGTGGGCGGGGCTAAACAGGCAGCGCTGTAGAATCGTTGGGCGGGGCTAAACAGGCAGCGATGTAGAAGCAGGCGTTGATGATCTATGGAGGCGGTGCTTATCCACACTATTACATCATAGAGTAGAACATTCCACAAGCTGTCGTTTTGGCAGAGTACCTTCAATATAAGCTGTTTTTAGACTAACGAGAAAGTTTTGAAAGTTCTGAAACTTACAGGATGTTTTTATAGTACAATGACCTCTTACAGTATGTCAAAAGATCACGGGAATTTTGGTTTCTCAGTTCATGACCCCTTTAATGTGATGCATATTTGCCAGTCAAACATCAGTGAAACAGGTTAAATTGCTGTAATAAAACTAATAAACTAAATGTGTTTCAAATACATAAAAACTAGCTTTAGCTATATATTTATCGTCAATAAATCCAATTTGCTTGAACTAATTTAATATTGCTTGTTTCACAAGGAGTTTAACCACATCCATACTTTTTAAGTTAATAAAATTTCGCAAGGAACAGATTTCAGTGATTTGAATAAATGCATTATGAAAACATAAAATATTGGATATTTTATATGCAATTACGGTGTTATTTTAATATCTCTGAGATATTATTATAGTTTTAATTAATATTTTAAATTAGTTTTTATTTTTAAATTTTTTGTTTTCATTTGATTTTATTGAACATTGCGGTAGTTCTGTTGTGTTTTGTCATTTTTATTAGTTCTTTTTTATATGTCTATATTTTTAATTCATTCTGAATTCAGTCTTAGTTATTTTAGTGCATTAAGTTTGACTCAAATAACAATTAGGAACAAAAACAGATTTTTAAAGGGGTCATATGATGCTATTTTAAAGTAAAGTGCTTTTGCTTTCGCACTGAAACACAGCGTCTCCCTGACATGCTGCATCAACACTACTGTTGTTCCTGAAACCACGCCTACTTTCTTTGCGTGAACA